GGCATAGAGGCGGCGTGGAAGTAGACGGGGTACCCATAGGGTCAATGACCTGGAACAGTTGCAGGTTAGGGTAATTACGCACGAGATCACAGATGACATTAATAATTTGCAATAGCACCGCCATTCCATAATTCCCAAGAACCAAAGGCACGGGCAAGAGCGGTGTAGTGGCTAGGAGCATGTCGAATATAGGCACAAACATGTGAACAGTGGTCTAGGTCGCCACCCGAAGGGGCACACTGCATATCAAGCCAACACCTTATCAAAGTAGTCTCCAAAACAGAGACATCGAATCCCCCATGTCGAGTGTAATTACTATCCTGTGGGGGATGTAGAGTCGGGTTATCGCCATATAACTCACGTTCCTGAGCATCAAGATTGGAAGCAATGGCCAAGAAATTAGAGTGAGTATATGGTTCCCGATGATAGGCTTGTAAGCAACTGTTAGTAGCAGCGAGGCCACATATTCGGTGGAGGCCAGTCAGGCAGATTTTCTACAGAATCTCCTACAGTCCCCTTGCCAATTTCATCCTCGGATGGTCCCCCACCATCATCCCTCCTATTCTGTGTTTGCCGCGTTGCAGAAAGGTCTGCAGTCCAAGAGCGTCGCACGCGTGGTACAAATCCTTGGGGCGGCAAAAGACGGGAACGGGATGTTGGGGAGGCCCGTGGTGGGGAGAATGAACGGGTTCTTCTTCGTCCAAAAACAGAGATGGAGGAAAGGGGGGTAAGCTGAGGTTGGGGAGTAAGCCGAAGCCTACGTCTAGGACAGCGAAGTAGGCTTTCTGCAGGGGCAAAACAGGATGACGGAGTCTGTGTGGATGAAGTGGTTTGTGGATTAGGAAGAGGGTTAACTGATGGAGACAAACCCAAGGGAGGTAGGAGTGGTGAAGACAGGGGTGGTAGAGTAGTCGAAAGGTGGGTAACAAACGAAGATAAAACCAGGGGAAATAAAGGCGGTGAAGACGGGGGGGATGAAGTCAGGGTTGGTGAAGTGGTTGAAGCAGACAGAGGGGGGCAGTCGTAGGTGAGACCCGAAGAGGGGACTCTACAGGTGGTAATGCAGGCATGGCCACAAATGCCATGGAGGAACACACCGAGACCAAGGGCGACACATCAGCTGCAGGTCGAGTTGCTCCTCCAGAATCAATCGTAGAAGCAACCAAGGCCGATGAGGAAGAGGCCGCGAACCGAAAAGGGTCAGTCAGGGTCAAAAACAGCAAGAAAGACTGATGAGGACGCAGGTAATGATGAAAAGGCTGTGATAGGTGTGGCAGGCGTCGATAATGAAGAAGGGGTTGTGACAGGCGTAGTCCGAGGACAGTGTGTAGATACCCGAGAAAGCGGGTGGTGATTAGACCATAGAAGCATGTTGTGGAACCAGCTGGAGAGGCGGGTCACGTGCGCTGGGTGCCTTGTTGACGTTTACAAATATAGGAAGTCCATCCTTTCGCAAGCGTTGTTGGAGAGTGCCCGCGAAAAAGCATGAGGCGTGTGAGCATCGCTGCTGCAATTTTGAAATCATACAAGTTGGACGTAGCACTAGGATAATAACCTGACCTATAAACACTCCCGCCGGCTGGTGTGCAGAAACGTTGGACGTAGCACTAGGATAACGAATAATAGGGAAATTCCATTCAGCTCCTTTGTCAAAGACACTCATACGCAGGGAACCGTCAGGGCGGACTTAGACTCTCGCCGGCTGGTGTGCAAGGACGTTAGACGTAGCACTAGGATAACGAAAAACAGGGAAATTCCATTCAGCTGCTTTGTCAAAGACACTCATACGCAGGGAACCGTCAAGGCAGACTTGGAGGTGTGCACCCAAGAATGTGCAAGAGCCATCAGGCGCTATGGTCTCCTTCCGTTCGAGGCCATGTGCTCTGCCGGTGGTGGAAGATGTCCCCATGAGAGTACATCATCGATCAAGCGGTATGTGAATGCATACCGTTGAGCTGCGCGAAGATCACGCCGCCGGAGGTCATCAACAAAGCGAGCCTCATTCCAATACAACGTCAAATTAGCTATCTCCGGACCAGAATTAGTCCCCATCGGGATGCCAATCAGTTGATGTCGCAAGGTGTCGTCCGCTGCATAAAGATACATGTTTGTGACAATGAAATGGAGATGTTCATGAATTTGGGAAACGGTCAAGGTGTTTGGTCCCGTATCAACCGTCCACTCCCCTTGACGGGGCCCTTTAAGAATCATGTTAAGGGTAGGAGGATGTGTGTGCCCCTATGTGTGTTGTCGTAAGACATATGTATAGGCTTCCTCAACCGCTTTTGATACATTATGACAAATACGGTCATGAGGAAGATTGGTTTACATAGTTGTGAAATCAACAGTGCGAGGAGCATGGTCACAAAGAGAAGATGAATTGTATTTGAGATCAAGCATCACCTCCTCAGTGCTTTGCACGATCCAACACCATCTCGCACCGCTTTGTTGATACAACCGATTCTCCTTCTCACATAGAGTTTCAACGACTCCTTGTAGTGCAACGCTGAGGCGGGCAGAAGTGACGGTAGTACTGGCCAAGGGTTTGTGGGGAGGTCGATGGTGGACTGCATGAACAAATGGCGCAGTTGATCGAGATCGCTGCGGCAGGGAGAGATTATTCCGCTCTATGACGTCGACAACACTGCAAAGCCCAGGGGGCGATTTGTGCGCTTTAAGTGCATAGTACAGATATGGCATCGTGTATGCATGTATATCCCCACCGATGATTCTAGAGCGCCTGATATTCGAGAATACCTGTGGCAGAGTCAAGAGGCACAACATAGGTAGGGCTGTCCAAATGAGCAGATAGATGAGACAAGTACAAATTTTTACAACAAATTGCCAAGTTATGTGAGGTCTTGTCGACAGGAACAATAGCAAAGTGTTGTTGAAGGTGTCTCACAGCCCTGTGCACTGAGTGAAGGGAGTGAGGTTGTCGTGTGGTAGTGTGGGAGGATGAGATGTTGCTTTGGCAATGGGCGAGACCAGCTGAGCGCCACTGCTACAATTTGTTCAGACCGGTCGGGGGAAGCTGCTCGGAGACCGACCTCAGGTATTTAGCAAGGCTAGGGCTGTTGATGGTCTGACGGACGAGGGCCTGTCTGTGTCCACCGATGAGGACGACGTTGCTGTCTTCTTGTAGGCAGGAGAGCAAACTGCAAGATAACGTTGAGACCAGTTGGATGAAGAGTCCGCAACCGGCGCACCCAATAGGCTTCCCGTGTCGTCGGAAAAGGTTACGGTCAACAAGACCTTGCGGTGTATGGTAAAGGGTCGGGTCAATACGTTCCTAGGGCCAGACTACAAAATTAAAGGGGTTTTGGCAAGACATGACACTGTAGAGCTGGCGACGCCGAAATTCCGCAGCAGAACGACGGACATGCTAATGTTCCTGCAAACGTTGATACGAGGAGTACATAGTTTGACCTATGTAAAGACGCCCAGAGGGGATATAAACGATGGCATAGATCACTCCCCGGATTGAGAGAGGGTCCATACCTGGTTGCAGTGCCTGCTGATCAATGCCTCTCCGCTGCAATTCGAAACGCTCTGTTTGAATAGTCGTGTTACGTTGTTGCAACTGCCTCTTGCGCCAAACGCCTGCAGAGTAGAGGTCAGTATTCCAGCGAAGGTGCAGAATCCAATCAACGCAATATGTGGAATCGACGTGTAGATGAGGTTGGGAGGAAAAAGCAGAGAAGAGTCAATGATTATTGTGAAAAACTATACCTAAAGTAGTGTCGACAGAAAATCTCCCAAGAATTCCTTGATCCACCGTGTCTAATGTAGTGCCTACCAAGGATTCCCTGACGTATGTTGCCTGGAACTACGCCTACCATGCCAGTAGTAGGAAACTTCCCGAGAATCCCCTGATTAATCCTTTGTGTTGAATTCATTTATTTAAAAGTAACGTTTCTTTTTTTGAAATTTTTCATTTTTTGGTAAGAGAAGAGACGAAGAGGTGCACAGAAAGGCAGGGTTTTAGGCCCGGCGGCCAGTTCAGGAACTGATCCTGCCGCCGTCCTGTTTGTATGGTATTCACCATTAGCATTGAGCCAACAGAATGTTGGTTCTTGTATGACTGCATCCACCGGTGAGTGTGTCATGACCCAGTGTGATCCAATGCGATCCCAGTGCTCACAACCTTGCACTGAGAGACCAACAGTGTCAGTTCAGCAAAAGCAAGCCAACCTGTAGGCTTTATTAATGTGTGAGGATTACACGAAAGAGTGCGATACGAAGAGGTGATATGGGCATGGGGGCTGCCACCCCGGTGTGGCTAACCTTAGGTGGGCTGTAACTATACCCACTACACGGGAAAAGGGTTACAACCTGTGTCCTTGCGGTGACCGCCACCACAGTCCTTATGTGCACAACACCTTATACAACAACAAAACCGTATCACCAAGCAACATACCAGATCAAACACCTAACATTGCTAATATTGTCCAAGCATAAAGAAAACAATGGCAAAGTAGCAGGTTATCAGAGAGCCCGCCGAATTAAATACAGCCCTTGAAAGGATTCAGGAAGCGATGACAGAACAGGGGGCAGAATGCAGAACGCAGATTATATTTTTTTTGGTCTTCTGCGCTCTCCCAGAGGACCCCAAATCCGGGCTCATTTCTTTTTTTGCAAGTTGACTGTCAAGGGGGCGGGAGGGGGGTATAAATTGATTTTAAAGAGGCTAAAGGGGTTTAAAGTTTAAACCTTAAACTTTAAAGTGGAGTGCCTTGTGTGATTCTGTTATTTTCTTTTTTATATCCGATTCTGTGAGGAATTCTAATGTGACACTCAGCCAAAAGTCATTTGTATTGCAATTCCACACGCCATTTTTTTTTTCCAGAATTTTTTGATTTTTTACTTTTTTGGCACTGGGGCTGCTCAGAACCCTGCCCGGGGGTCGTGACCGGCCAGGCACCCGGGCATGTACCCGGGCATAAGCTGGGTGCCTGGGCACCCGGAAAAACATCCTAGTGTAGTTGACCGGCCCCAGGTAATTCAAAATTATTTCATTCTGTTCGTCTGACTGCATATGGATTCGAACTTCAGACCGTATTTCAACAGTCGAGGGGTGTACCAACTGAGCTACACCCGTTGGTATTCGTGATGCTGCCTAATCAACAATTCAAACCATTTTTTGCAACTCTTGAGGGGAGGATAGTGAGATCATACAGGATATCGCCTCTCCAGAGTCTCTGGATCTGTTATTCTTGTATTTGTCATGTGGCACTGCACACCGCTGGCCCCATCCCATGTAGGCCCAGCTCCACTCCCTCCACCGATTGTCTCGTAGTATCCAAAGCTGTTGTCACCAAACGTCAGGTTGTTCATGCACCTGCCAAAACACACACACAAAGCGAACCCGATGGGTTCCCGTCATTGTTTAATAATAACTTATCAGTAAATGATAATCAATGAGCACAGGAGACTATGAAACTCAAAGCTACTACAGATGATACACAGTGTAAAAATCATCGCACGCAGGACAAGAAGGGGCAGAGACAGATAATTCTGTCAGACTTGCTTTAAATGAGCCAGATCCCAAATGTGTTTAATATCATGTCAGATAAATGTATGTCATGTGCATGTGCCATTTTACGATAGACACCCATCTCTCTCTCTCTCTCTCTCTCACACACACACACACACACACACACACACACACACACACACACACACACACACACATGCAATCATTTTTATGTATGTACTATGTATGCTCATTTTTCCTCTTTCTTAATTTTTCTAAGTATTTTGTGTGCCTGCGTGAGCACCCTTAAGACTGTCTCTTATACACATCTAGATGTGTATAAGAGACAGTTCCAATACAACGTCAAATTAGCTATCTCCGGAC